TCCATGACAACATCTATTTCTCAGAAGCTGTGGGTCAGTGACCTCTCTCCGCCTGTCTGGGGGCTTCTTGCAGAATGAGGAAGGACTTCTGTGATTGGTGATCTGGTGAGCCTTTTCCCCATAGGGGCCTGGTGTGTGCCCTGGAAAGTCAGTGGGTTAAAGGTTATCTTTTCCTCACAGCCTTTATGTCTAGGACTCTGTGTTCTATGAGGTTTAGGGCAGCTCAAATCTTCCATGAAGCTCACCCCACAAGCAGGTGATGGAAGGGTGTCCCTGACCCTACCTAACTTCGGTGTGAACTTCCCATTTTCTCAGCATGTCGAGCATTAACTGGCAAGTATGGTGGAAAGTTGCTCAGTATGGGTGGCAGCAGGGTAGCTGGAAGGACAACCCTAGATAGCACTGGAAAGTAAACATCTGCCCATGTTCTAGGGGGGATCTCCATGTCTTGGAACAAATTTAAAACTTTTCCAGTTGGGAGGGGGTTGTTGGGAAGAAACTAGTTGTTTCCAAAAGTCAAAGCTCATGGAAGTGTGGCAGTACACTCAGGGGTGGTGTCAGGCCTCCAGACACAGAGCACTCAACTGCCAAGAAGGTGGGTACAGGCACAGAAAGAAGGTGGCTCCAGGTGTGAACCTGCAAACGAAGAGTCCTGGGGTCAGAGAGGACCCAGTAGCAAAGCAAATTTGATGCATTTGTATAGTTTATGCATCAACTTGACTTGATCAAACCAAGGAGTGCCCAAATACTTGGTAATAAAATATTATTCCAGATGCATCTGTAAGAGTGTTTCTATGGGGTTAACATCTGGTTCAGTGGACTGAGTAAAGCAGTTGGCTATCCCCAGTGTGGATGGGCCTCATCCAATCCACTGAAGGCAGAAAGAGAGAGGAAAGCTCATGCTCACCAGCATTTCCTATAATTCCCCTACAAATCCTTCTAATAAGTCCCCTGGTAGATTGATGGCAATCTATTTCTCTACCCCTCCTTGTATCCATGCCCTCAGCAGCTTCTCCCACAGAGATGTGGAGTTCCTCTCCCCACCCCTCTAGTTTTGGCTTCCTCGTGATACTCTTTGGCCAATAGAATGCGGCAGAAGCCATGCTGTGCCCTCTGCATGACTGCTCTGGGACCCCTGTTCTGCCGGTGGCATGTGCTATTTTCAGTCACCGTTACATTGCTGTGGCAATAAGGGCAGCTAATGTTTGAAGTAGCTTCAATCGCTTTCTGGCTTTTTGCTCCCAGGTGGTCCTCAGAGAATACCTGAGCTCCTTCCGATATCTTTCTGCACAGAGCTGCTTGGCTGGGCTGAGGTGGACAGGCTGTCTGATTCTGTTGCCCTGTATGGTTGCACCCACTCTCAATGTGTCCCTGAACTGCCTTAAAATGAGCCCCCTTATCCTCTGGGGGTGGAGGGAGAAAATGCTAGCTCTGCTGTGAAGCTGCTAATCCTTGATCACTCACTGTTGTAATGTCTCAGCTCTCATCTACAAGCATGAGTCATCACCATTCTCCTGAATAACATGCAGTTCCATTCTGTTTCAATTTCTATGGACAGGGCAAGGTGACCACAGCAAGCCAGGTTTCCCAGACGATTTCTGTCAGTTGTTGAGAAAAATAAAATGGTTTGGTAGAGAAATCAGGTTTCTTGTTTTTTGGCAATTCTTCCCACACAGCACTCTGGTATCTCAACTGACCTCCACCCAACCCTTCTTTGTTGCAGGAGCCCGTCTTCCCCTAGACCCTCTTCTGAGGACTGAAGAGCCAGGCAGGGCCAGTTAATACAGGATCTTATGTCAGAAACTTAACTTCTTTAAGCTTCATGTGCTCATTATATCATACGTCTGGGAATATTTTCTGTCACAGGTTACAGTGAGAAATGTAAAATATATATATACACCTGTGGAAACACCTACAACAATACCTGGCCCCAAGAAAAAAGAGCTCAGTAAATGTTACACTCTAGTTCCGTTCCCAATGTGTGTGTGTGTGTGTGTGTGTGTGTGTGTGTGTGTATATATATATATATAAATGGGCAGAATGAAGGGAAGGGTAAAAGAGCAAACTTCAGATTTCAAAGGTCAACTTGGGCCCTGGGTTTGGTAGTAAGCCAAAATCACTATCTTAGTTAAGATAGAAGTGATGTGGGTTCTGTGTTTGTATGTGTGCAAGCATAGGCGTGTGTGTGTGTGTGTGTGTAATCTCCTAAGGCAAGGCTTGCACCTGGGTAACCTGTTTGGGAACTGGACCCTAGAGGGCAGAAGTGCAGGACAAGGAGCTGAGACAACAAAGAGGTTTATCTTCTGTGTGTGAGTCCCCGCCAGTGGGATCATCTGAGGAGCTTATGAAAGGAGTCTCGGAATGGTTCACATGGAAAAAGAAAAGAGAGGGAAATTTGTCCTCGCAGCCAAGGGGGCCTCTGCTCTTCTAGGCTACTCTTGTTTCCAGTTTCTTCCCACCCGAACAGGTGAACACAACACAATGTAAGTTTCTCAGAGCCAAGGGCAGAATCCTGGAGCTGGTCAGAGCGGGAACAGATGTGAACTGGTATCCTAATGAAGTAAGATTGGGACAGAGATTAAATTGGAGGGAAGAGCACCAGCCTGGACTGAAAGGAAGTTTTCTTCCTCAAAATGAAAAACATAAAGCTTCTTGAATCCAATGAGGAGTTAAGCTAAACTAGGTGATAACTCGGTTTTCAATTCCCCTGGATACTGCATCACCATTTCTATGAAACTTTGGAATCCTGGTATCTCTACAGGCCCTCTTCTGTTTGCCCTGCATTCATCTGACTGTCATCTAGTACCCCAGAAAGCTCATGTGGTAAGTGAATTATTGAGACACACAGCAGGGTGATGAATTTCAGCTCCATTCTTGGGGGAGCAGGAACAGGCAGACAAGCACAGTGAAGCTGCCCGCACCAGGTGAGTGCTGTACTGGTTAATTTACCTCCCCAGGGCCACTCAGCCCATCTACCCCATGCTGCTTGTTTAACACAGAGCCCAGGTTTTTACCCCATCTTTTGCTTCCTCCCCCAGCACCAGTCATCTGTCCTTGAGGTGAGAGTAGGGCTCTGGCATGGCCTCCATTGTGCCCATAATGGTATAAACCACAGCAGCCCCAGTGCCTTTGCACAGTCCCAGCAGACTGTGGCAATTCTGGCTTCTCCTGTGACTTCACAAGCCACATGTGTTCCTTTACCAGGGGATAGCATTCTAGCTTTCCCAGTAGCTATGGGAGTGGCTGCTGATGCTATCTGGAAGGGTGCTGGGGAACGCAGTCCCCCATGATGAGAACTTTGTCCTGGGAGAGCAAGAGCCAGGAGGGAGAGACAGATAAATCCTTTTCTCTGTTTTCCTCTGGCAGACCCTTCTATCTGGCCTGTTTATACATGTCTCATGTGACGAGAAATTAGAAATCAGTCATGTTTCCTTCCCTGTGAAGCTGTTGCAAGCTCAGGATCACCCTCTTCTCTCCTCATTTTTGGTGCTGTAAGATTGCACCGCTCCATGAAGTGGTAGGCCATCAGCTTTGCCTATATTTTACTCTATTTGTGCTGCCATAACAAAATACTGTGGACTGGGTAATTTATAAAGAACGGAAATCTATTTTCTCACAGTTCCGGAGGCTGGGAAGTGCAAGATCAAAGCACCAGCCAGCAGATTTGATTGTCTGGTGAGGACTGCTCTCTGCTTCCAAGATGGTGCAGACAACAAAAACAAGTGACTGAGGCAGGTGTCCAACCAATCAAGGTGTACTGAGCCAGCCTGAGAGTGTGCCCACAACACGAGCCACAGACACAACCATTCTTTCCAAAGAGGTTCTCAGCAGGCTTAGTATTTATACATTTTTTCTTAAAAAGGAGGGGAGGCAGAGAGGAGAATGGTTACATACTTCTGAGACTTTACTTCTCACTAAATCTATATTTTACATAAGATAAGGTGAACCTTTGAAGAAAAAAAGGAATATGGAAATAAAATAATTATGTAGCCAACTCAGGGAGGGGTGAAGGAATGATTAATCTCATCTTGCCTTTGTTCTGCACCTGGGGAGATAAGCTAGTAATTGACATTATCAGTGTGGAGCTTTAGGAACTAGATTTAGATTGTAGACCTAAAGTTACAATTGGCATGACCTGGCTCATGGAAGGCCAGCAAATAAGTTACTCATGAGTGGTCTGTGGGGCCAGACTTTCCAGATGTCTGAGACCTTTTGCCTTTCCATGGGGTATCTGGAGGGTGCATGCTGCTAGTAACAGCTGCTTACTTTACTCGTGTGTGTGTGTGTGTGTGTGTGTGTGTGTATATAGGTTTTAAGCCCTGCATGCATTAGGTATTTGTCCTAATGCTCTCCCTTCCCTTCCCCTTCCCCCACTACCCCCTGATAGGCCCTGGTATGTGATGTTCCCCTTCCTGTATCCATGTGTTTTCATTGTTCAACTCCCACTTACGAGTGAAAACATGCAGTGTTTAGTTTTCTGTTCCTGTGTTAGTTTGTTGAGGATGATGGTTTCCAGCTTCATCCATGTTCTGCAAAGGACATGAACTCATTCTTTTTTATGGCTGCATAGTATTCCATGGTGTATATGTGACCTGAGATTTTTATTTCCCTTTGCAATGCCTTCTTGCTGCATCATCTGGAGAGAAGGAGCCCTGCGTCTTCAGGGAAGACAGAAGAGCAGGCAAGCCGGAGACTGTGATGATGCCTCTTCCACTCAAAAGGGAGGAGCCCTCACAGCCTTATCATCACCTCCTAAAGTCCTCACCTTTTAATTTGATCACGTGGGCCATGAAGTTTCAACACCTGAATTTTGGCAGAAATGCATTCAAACCACAGCAAACCCATTCTCCAATTTCTAAGAAACCTGGGATAATGCAAGTACATAGGACAGGCATGGGCAAGCGTCCTGAGTCCTGGGGCCAGGGGAAATCCAAGGTAACAAGGGAAATCGACGGTCCCAGCCAGGTGCATGGCTAGAGCAGTGCTTTCCATTGTAAGGACAGCGATGGAAATTTCAGCTCTACTTTTTCCTTTCCCGAGTTGTGTGATCTTGATCATCTTCCTTGCAGCTCATCCTTCATGTCCTAAAACAGATGATACAGCAACATCAGCAAGGTGGCAGACTAAGGAGCTTCAGACACTACTTACTACCCCCAGAAACATTTTTTAAAAACAATTAGAGGACCTTTGGAAAATAGCGAAAAGGTACAGGGGCCAAGCAAGCACCCATTCAAGTAAAAGCAACATTCAAAATGCAGGAGATTTTGTGGATTTGTACTCCCCTTTTCTGCACCCTTCCCTGGCACTGAGCAGTGTTGGTCTGGAGGAGATGGCAGCCCAGCTCCCAGTTCCTTCCCTCTAATGATAGTGAGCAGAGTCTAACCTGTCTGGGAATGGCTTCAAGGATTAGTCCTGCTTTGTTCAACTCGGAGCTCAGAATAGGAGAAGCAGTTTAATTCAGATTGCAGGCTGAGAAAAAGCTATGGTAAGCAGCAGGAACTGCTCTTAAAAACTGCAGGGTGGCTACAGAGACTGAAGATGCCTGGGCAAGAGATTTCAAATGGAAGCATATAATAAACCCTCTAAGGGCACATAAAGAAGCCAGAACAAGACTTTTGGAAAATTAAGATGTCTAAAAGGATCCATGTTTATGGGGAAATAGTTAAAGCCACATGAAGGCTCAGATAAAAGGCATACTCAGAAAAGACGTGAGAAGATCTTAAGCTACTCCTTGGGCTGACTCCAAGGCTCAGAACATGCCCTGAGAATTAGTGAAGATCTTCCCCATCACACAGCCTGTCCTCAAATACTAGGAGAATTCGCTGTTTTTTCAAATTCTTAATTCTCAACAACAACAACAAAAAAAATCACAAGGCATATGAAGACACCAGAAAATACAACTTCTTCAGGGAAGAAAAGGAAGTGTCAGAAACCACCGATAAATCCAAGAAAATGATGGAGGCAAGTCTCAACCCTTTTAGAAGTCTGTTTTGCCAAGGTGAAAGACACGCCCAGGAGAAAGGAACACGTACCCACAGGAAACATATGCTGTCTGTGCTTTTTCCATGCAGAGTTTGGGGGTTTCATTATTTAAAGGGAAAAGAGCAGGCAGCAGGAGAAAGAGGAAGAGAAAAAAAGGGAGGGTAGGTAAGGCAAGCAGTTGCGTTCCTTTGAGTCTTTTGATTATTTTCATCGAGTCCACATTTTTCACGTGAAAGGAGCTGGCTGAGGAAAAGTCAATTATGCATTCATCTGGTTCCATAAATCTGCATTTTTACATAAGATACAATAATCAGAGAGTATAGGAAGCAGTCAGATATGCATTTGTCTCAGGTGACCAGAGGGAGGACTTTTTGTTCTGTCCTTTGTCCCATGCCTGTGAAGATAAGCTGTTAATGTACATTGTCGGGGTGAAATTTAACAGAACCACTTTAGGGTAAAGATCTTGGGGCCTATAGGAAATTTTCTTGTGAGAAAAACTTGAGGGAGGATGTAGCCATCTATTTGGGAACAAAATAGGGGGCAGGTTTGCATGACCCAGCTCCCAGCTTGACTTTTTTGCCTTTGGCTTAGTGAACCTCAGGTACTGAGATTGTATTTTTTTTCCACACACCCCTGAAGAAACATGCAAATATCAATTAAAAGAGAGCAAGTGTGGCTATATTAACATCAAATAAAATACACTGTAAGTCAAAAACTGTTACAAGAGACAAAGAAGGACATTATATCTAGGTGAAGGGTGACTTCATCAGGGAACAATGACAATTATAAACACATATGCATCAAACATTAGAGCTCCTAATTATTTGAAGCAAACATTGACAAAACTGAAGACAGAAATAGATAGTTCTACAATAATGGCAGGACATTTCAATGACCCTACTTTCCACAGTGGATGAAACAGCCAGAAAGAACATAAATAAGAAAATAGAGGACTTGAACAGCACTGTAGACCAATTGGACCTAATAAATATATGCAGAACACTGCACACAACATATGAGGAGTACACATTGTTCTCAAGTAAACGTGAAACATTCTCCAAAATAGCCCATAGGTGTGATATTATATATATAACATACAAACTTTATATGTATCATATATATTATGTATCTCTGTATAGAATTAATATATAGATACAGATAGAGAATGAGATTGTCCACGGTTTCTGGCTCACAACTCCCATCATCCTTGTTATAATGTTGGGTGCTTTAGGCCTCAGAAGCAGACCTCAAAAAACAGAACCTCTCTCTCTCTCTTTCTCTCTGTCTCTCACCTCCACCCTCCTTTCATCAGATCATTTTTCTCCACAAGACAACACTCTAATTTTCCCACCTTTCCATAAAGGACATCTGACCTGTCTTGTCAGATGAGAAAACTCCTGCAGCATACCCTGGAGATGGGAATGCTGCAGAGAGAGGCCAAGACGCATCTGAGTAGACAGGCTTTGCTGGGTTTCCCCACTCAGTCTATCAGCACTAGATCGTACCCTTTTTGCCAAATCACATTTCTAACCCATGTTACAAATCCATTACAAAACCCCAAAGAGGACAGGTTGGGGAGCTTCTGTATAGCTGAACATGTGGAGGCTCCTGGAGGGTGAGGCACCAGGAGAGCATGGAAGCTCCGGGCCCCTTCCCCCATGCCTCACCCTATGCACCTTTTCATCTTTATCCTCTGTAACATCCTTTATGATAAACTAGTAAATGCAAGTGTTTCCCAGAGTTCTGTGGGCTGCTCTAGCAAATTAGCCTAACACAAGGAGGGGGTCATGGGAGTCCCAATTTACAGTCAGTTGGCCAGAAGTCTCATGTCCACGGCAGAGTTGATTGCTTGCTTGCTGGTGGGGAGAAATGCTGACATGCTTGGTCACAGAAATTGTCTGTATTGATTGTTGTGGTGTGAGAGCAGAGAAAAAAAGTTTGTGCTTTTTTTCATTCACAATATATTAGGTCACAAAATAAGTCATAATATTTCAAGTATTGAATCATACAAAATTTTTTTTTCAGAATGGAATGAAACTAGAAATAAGTTACTGAAGGGAAACTAGAAAGAGGAAATTATAGAGAATCGCAATTTACCACAACAGAAAGCTCTGAGCAGCAATCCTTGTGGGAACTAGTGTGGGGACAGGAAAGCCTGAACTATAATTTGCAAATTGCTAGAGGCTTAGAGTGGACAAGTCTGAGAAATAAAATCTCCAAGGGGACTTTTCCATTGTGGGCTAGCCACATGCTATGGTTTGAATGTGTCCTTTCCAAAATATTATCCCTTGAATGGGATAGTATTAAAAGGTAAGGCCTTTGAAAGGTGATTAGACCATAAGGCTGCTCCCTTGTGAATGAGATGAACGCCTTTATTAAAGAGGCTACATGCAGTGTTGAGTGCACTTGCCCTTCTGCTTTCCACCGTATGAGGACATGGTATTTCTCCTCTCTGGAGGAAGTGTCATTCGAGGCACCATCTTAAAAACAGAGCCCAGGTCCTCAGCAGGCAACCAAACCTGCTGGAACCTTGATCGTGGACTTCCCAGCCTCCAGAACTGTGAGAAATGGATTTCTGTTCTGTATAATTTACCCAGTCTCAGGTACTCTATTATAGCAGCACAAGTGGACTAAGACACCACCCTTGTGTGAGTTTTAACTTTTGGAGTTTTATTAGATCCTCACAGTGAATATCGCAGAAAAACACGCTCATGCTTCTGGCAGGGAGAGGAGAAAAGGAATCATTTCAAACTATGTCAAAGCATTCTGTTTTCTTAATAAGGTCTGCCCTCAGGAGAAACTATTCAACCAGAGCCTAACGTGGTGAGGTTTTATAAGAGCCTAAGTGTCCTGGAGAAAGGGAAATACCCCAGCAGCCATGGTGTCCCATCTGATGGAGGGGGAAGGAATTGAGAAGCACATGTGAAGTTCACGATACAGAGGCACAGACTCACTAAAAGGCTGACACCTCATCATCTAACCATAAGACTATGGAATGCTGCCCTTCCTTTGCATATGACCACTACATTGCTAAAAGTCTGTTTACTGCAGTCCGTTTTATCAAGTATATTATTTACAGTTACCAATTAAAAATCACAAGACACATTAAGAGGTAAAAAGCACAGTTTGAAGAGACAGAGCAAGCATCAAAACCATAATCTGATATAGCAGAGGTGTTGGAATTAGCAGACTGAGAATTTAAAACAACTAGACTGAATATGCTAAGAGCTGTAATGGATAAATCAATCAGCCTGCAAGAGTGGCTGGGAAGTGTAAGCAGAGAGATGGAAATCCTAAGAAAAAATAAAAAATACATACTGGACATCAAAAATACTGTAACAGAAATGGAAAACGCCTTTTTATAAAAACACATTTTTATAAAAAGGCATTTTAGGCATAGTAGTAGATGGACACAGACAAAGCTGAGAAAAGTCTGTTTTCAGCTTGAGGGTTTATCAATAGAAACCTCCAGTACTGCAAAGTAAAGAGAAAAAGACAGAAAAGAGAAACAAAACAGAACATACAGGAACTGTAGGACAACTACGAAAGGTATAAATATGCGTGATAAAGACTCTGGAAGGAGAAAGGAACAGAGGAAATAGTTGAATTTATAATAACTGACAATTTCTCCCAAATTAATGTTTGGCACCAAACCACAGATCCAGGACCTAATAGACATCTACAGAACTCTTCGCCCCAAATCAACAGAATATACATTCTTCTCAGCACCACATAGCACTTATTCTAAAACTGACCACATAATTGGAAGTAAAAAACTCCTCAGCACATGTAAAAGAACAGAAATCATAACAGACAGTCTCTCAGACCACAGCACAATCAAATTAGAACTCAGGATTAAGAAGCTCACTCACGGCTGGGCATGCTGGCTCATGCCTGTAGTCCCAACACTTTGGGAGGCCAAGGCGGGTGGATCACGAGGTCAGGAGTTCAAAACCAGCCTGGCCAAGATGGTGAAACCTCATCTCTACTAAAAATACAAAAATTAGCCAGGTGTGATGGCAGGCACCTGTAATCCCAGCTACTTGGGAGGCTGAAGCAGGAGAATTGCTTGAACCTGGGCAGCAGAGGTTGCAGTGAGCGA